CGGCATTTTTCAAAGACGCCATGGCCCTGGTCGCCGGGGGTGCAGACCCCGGGCTTCAGCGCGTTCGCTGCCCGCGCCGGGGGAGCGGCGGAGCCGGTGCCCCGCGCACGAGGGGGCCGCTCCAACGCACCACCCTCGCGCAGGCCGGGCGCGGGGCCGTGGGCACCCCGCTTCCGGGAGGGACTCCCGGTGAGCACCCCCTCCGTCTGTCTTCCCTGCAGTCCTTCAACAGCTACTTCAGCAGCGAGCACAGCCGCCTGCTCCTCCTCTGGAGGCAGGTGGTGGGCGTCCGCCGGCTGGCCAGCGACGTCAAGATGTCCACCGAGCGGTAAGAGGGCCACGAGGGGCGGCCCGGCAGGCGGGGGGGGGGCCCCCGTTCAGTTGCCGAGCGAGCTTGGCCATCCTGGCCCTTCGCCCCGCTGCCGTCCACGCCCTTTCCCACCATCGGGGCAGCATCCCCGTGAGGCTCGGATGCCGTTGACCCCGTTTCACAGAGCAGGACACCGAGGCACAGAGAGGTGGAGGGACACAGCAGCAAAAAAAAAAGGCGGAGGCAGAATATGGACCCAGGATTATCTGCTTCTGGAGCTCCTGCTTTTACTCTGCTAGACCCTGGCGCCTTTGCACCCAAGGACCTTGTAACCCCCAAAATCCGGAAACGTACAAAGACACCCCCCCCATTTCTTCTTTTCTTACATTTTTATTGGCACCCAGTCTACATATCAGAGAATTCAATCGTTCAGTCATATCAGGGAGAGAGTTGTATAATCATTACCACAGTCAGTTTTAGAACACCCCCCCTTCCCACCATGGTTAAATCACCTTTACAATGAGTTGTGTAATCACAATCCGTTCTCGAGCTCCCTCCTGTCCTGCCTTCATTGTTAAAGAGCCACATTCTCGTCCGAGGCAGTGAGTGGCCCGACTCACCGTGTGACCATGTTTCCCTTTTTGCCTTTATGGTATGTGTGCGTCAGGACCCATAGAAGTTCACGGAACTGGGTGGACTTGTCGTTGGAGTCTCTCTCTGTCCGTGTGTTCCCTCCCTCCCCCCGCTGCAATGGGAATGTTTTTGTTGTTGACACTCTTCAGAGCAGGACACACACCAGTCCAGCCGTGTGTCTACATGACAGCCTGGCGGCGCTGGCTCCATTCTCTGTGCCATGCAGACCTGCTTGCCCTCCATGCTCACGCCGTCCCTTCACCTTCACCCAAGGGTCCTGTCCCAACTGGAGAGCGGCTGTTGTCCCTTTGTTCCCGTGGACATAGATCTTGAAAGAGTCCCATTAGGATTTATTTGTTCAGATGATGGGGACAGATGTCCTCAGTTTGGATATGGCTCCTGGAGCCCCTGGAGCATCATTTAGCATGTCCCTCCTCCTCTGTGCTGGCTGCAGATTGGATATCCAGCGTCGCTAAGGCTAGCTCAGTTTGGGTTTTTGACTGGACGGTCTCGTGAGTGATGGTGTGCGCCTGGAAGTGCCTTTGGCCCTGTTTACCTCCTTCTGTGATGTCGCTCGTGGCCCTGTGACGCTCCAGGGCCAGCCCAGACCTTCGCCCGAGGTTGCACAAGCGTGGTGTAGTTGTTCTCTCATTCTCTCGCCTCTTCCACTATAGGATGCAGTTCTGCCATCGGGAGCCCTTTCTCCTTGGTGCCACTGGATGCCAGGACTGAGCCCATTAGAGCTATTTTAAATACATTTCTTTTTAACTCGCATTACAATTTTTTTTTCCAGTTTTACTTTTGAATAAAATGTGTTCACAAGGGCCAGATTTCCACGGGTGGGTCTCCCTTTCTCTGCCAGCCCCGGCCATTCCCCTCCCCAGAGGCAAGCCGTACAAGGGGGAGGTTGGTGGAGAACAGTAGAAAAATGGAATTGAAAGATAATGGGATTTTTCCACCAGCTTTTTGAAGCTCCTTCTATTACGTTAGCTAAGTGATCCCCTAGGGTTATTTTATTCATACAAACAGCAAATCTCGGTAGGCTTCAAAGCCATGGTCCCTGGAGCTGATTTCCTTACCAAATTTTTCTTACTGAGAGGGGCCTCCACACCAGGCCAGGGAACCGGCCCTTGGTGGCTGTGCCATGATTTATTTGACAGCACTGTCCCTTTAACGGCCCTCAAGGACCCCACCAGCTGCTGCACAGGAGAAGGCCAAGACTCCCTCCTTTAAAGATCGACAGCCTGGCCAACCGGACGGCAGGTCTGCCCTGTCCTACAGGGTCCATAGGCATCTGGATGGACGGGATGGCAGGGAGCTTGGATGTTGCTTTTTAACCATTTTCTTGGGGGCTTGTACTGCTCCTACTACAGCCCATCCACCCATCCATTGTGTCAAGCACATTTGTACCTAGGTTGCCACCATCATTTCTTTTTTACCTAGGTTGCCACCATCATTCTCAAAACATTTTCTTTCTACTTGAGCCCTTGGTGTCAGCTCATCATTTCCCTCCCCACCCCCCCCACTTTCCCTCCGTCACCCTTGATAATTTATAAAGTATTACTTTTTTCATGTCTTACATTGACCAATGTCTCCCGTCACCCACTTTTCTGTGTGATCTGTTCCCTCTCGCTGCCCCCACCTTCCCCTTCCCCTCCTGGCATTGCTGCTCTCATCATTGGTCCTGAGGGGAGGAAGCTTGGTTTTGCTGGGCATTTAGATCAGTGTCCCTGGCGAGGCACTAGCAGGAGCCTTGGTGGTTGCACGTTGGGCTGCAACCTGCATGGTTGGCAGTTCAAAACCACCAGCAGCTCCGAGGCAGAAAGAGAGGGCTTTCTCCTCCCGTAAACAATTGCAGTCTCAGAAACCCACAGGGGTTGTTATGAGTCAGCAGTGACTAGACCGGCGTGTTGTGTTGTGTTTTGTTGGGGGCGGGTCCTGCAACCACAAACGCAGACTCCTGCACTTTCTCCCGGGGTGGGCGATAGGACTCACCTTTGTCATTGCTGGGGGTGAGGACACTAGTGAGTGAGTGTTTCTCTGACAAAGGGGTGGCAGGCCAAGTGAGTTTGGGGACCTGTGATTTCGGTTGTCAGCGAGTTTTGTGCACGAGCAGTGTTGCATCGAGTCGAGTCCACAGAGGGCACTTCCGTGTCAGAGGCGGTCCGGCAGTTCAGGGCCCTCCATTGTGGTTGTGCCAGGTTGCTCCCTGCGTGGCAAAGCTGGTGGAAATGCTTGGTGGTTCAGACCCCCACCCTCGAGGCACCTTGGCCTTCTGGAGGTCACAGCCTCCATGGAGCATCTCTGCCCTGCGCACATGGGTCACCCTGTGTCGGCACGGGCATTTGGTTTGGGTCTGATTGTTATTTCCCACTTACCCTCCCCCGTACCGTGTATCTCACAATCCACCCCCACCCTCCAATCTGATAGTGACAAATGTACAAATCCACTCTGGCTTACTTTGGCACCTGGGAGTCCAGGACCGTTTCCCATTGCTACCCTGTGCCCTCTCCTTAGGGACCTGCGGCAGCTGGGAGGCGAACTTGCCCAGACATCACGGGCCATCCAAGACGCGGGCCTGGGCCTGAGCTCGAGCCTGCAGCTGGCTGAGAGCCGGGCCGAGGCGGCCTGGGAGAAGCAGGCCATGCTGCAGGCCCAGCTGGAGGGACAGCTGCAGGACAGGGTGCTCCTCGAGAAGGACCTGGCTCAGCTGAAGGTGCAGAGCGACCTGGACAAGGCCAACCTCAGTGCCCGGTGAGTGCCTGGGTGAGCACCAGTAAGAAGGCCACCCTGCATAGGGTGCCCCGGCGATGTCGAGAAGAGGCAGTATCCCCCCAACAGAGATGAGCCCTTCCCCCCCACGAGCCCAGCGAGCCTCCCCAGGCAGCCCATTTACCAGAGAGGGAGACTGAGGTTCAGGGGCACTGGCCCAGGGCAGTTCAGTCTCTACTGCCAGAACTTGTGCTCCCAACTCCTGCTACTGGACAGGTCACAAAGGGCATCCTGTGAGATTACGTGGGTGGCAACCTCGTTCCCATTTTAGCCCGGAGAACTCTGAGGCTCAGAGAGAAACGACTTGCCCAAGAGCATGCTGTGTGGGAGGTGAAGGCTTGGGTGCCTGCCTTGAGTTTGGGGAAGCGTGGAGGGTGCAGGAGGTGGTAGGCTTGGGGAGAAGTTGGGAGAGGCCCCCATTCCCCTCTGCTGCTCCCCCACCTCAGAGTGACCGAGCTGGCCCTGGCGGTGGAGTGTCTTCAGAACCAGAACCGGGAGAAGGACCAGGCCAACAAGGCCCTCATTGTGAAGCTGGAGGCCCTGGTGAGAGGTGGCTCCCTGCCGTGAGGGGCGCAGGGCAGGGCAGGGTGGGCACCAACCGGGGCCTTGGGCCCAGTCTTAGAGTGGGCTGCGGGGCCACCCCGGAGAACCGCATCAGACTCAGAGCCGCTCCTCGTTAAGTAAGCAGCCGTGTATCCCAGACTTAGCAGTGAGCACATCCAGCCCCTGATCCCACCTCATCCTGCAGCTACACCTCCCTGTGGCTCCATCCCCAACACGCGGGTGAGGAAGCCGAGCCACGGAGGGAGAATACTTGTCTCAGAGCCAGTCGGCAAGGAGCTGGGACTTGAACTCTGGTCTGCTCCCTCCCGGCCCAGCTGTCTTCCCCTGGGAACTCAGCTGTCTCCCCAGCAGAGCCGATGCTTCTCTGCCAGTCACCTTTCTGTGTGGGACGTGGCTCTCTTCCCACGGGCTGTGTGACCTGGGGCAGGACACCGGGCTTCCCTCTGCCCTGACTGTCCAGCGTGGGCCGTGGGGTTGCTGTGGGGCCTACCAGGCTGCTGCCTTGTAACCAAGGCCACTTGGCCAGGGAGGGAGACACAGGGGAGAGTTTGAGGTGGGTGGGAGTGGGGGCAGAGACCCTGAGCAGCCTCCATGACCCCTCCCACCCTACTCCAGGAATCCTTGCGGCTACAGGAACAGGCTGCTCTGGAGTCAGAGGACACAGCGGGACTGCAGCAGACCCTGAGGGACCTGGCGCAGGTGGGAGGCCAGAGAGGAGAGGCCAAACGGGTGGGCCGCTGGTGCAGAGCCAGGCCTGGCAGTCCCTGTCCAGCTGCCCTCTGGTGGCTTTAGGCCAAAGTTCACAGGGTGGCGGGCTTGGGGACCCAGGTGGATGCCTTTGCCAGAAGGGCAGGCCCTTTGCTTGTGGGGAGCCCCCAGTCCGACTCTGGAGACATAGCACCTGCCCTGAGAAACTTGGATGAAGTCTTCAATTCATAGTCGATGTCTGGGGAAAATAAATGGGAGGTGGGCACGGGGTCGCAGTAGTGAGCTCGTGGAAGGGGTCGAACCCTGGGAGGCATGTTCTCCGGAGGTCCCAGCCTGCCGTTCCCCTCTCCAGGCCGCCCTGTCGGACACAGAGAGCGGTGTTCAGCTAAGCGGCTCTGAGCGCACGGCCGACACGTCAGATGGCAGCCTGCGGGGTCTCTCGGGCCCACGGACCCCATCCCCACAGCAGCGCTACTCGCCCGGCCGGGGCCCTTCCCCTCGCCGGGGCCCGTCCCCCGCCTGCTCCGACGCCTCCACACTCGCCCTGATCCACTCAGCCCTGCACAAGCGCCAGCTGCAGGTCCAGGTAGAGCCCGGCTTAAACATGGAGCGGGAGCCCTGGCCCTGGGCGGACCCTGAGTCCCCAGAGTGGGTCTGGAGCCTTAAGAACCAGAACCCGTAGCCCAGTGCTCTGGGGAAGAGTGGGAGGTGCTTGATCAATTGAGGGAGGAGCCTGGGGCGGGCTCTGAGACCCGCTAGTCCCAGTTGCCTACCCAACCCGCTCCCTTCGAAGCCAGCAGCCTAAACAAGGTCTGGGAGGAGGAATCGGAGGTAGAGGGGGAGGATTGAGGGAGGGGGCCGAGTGGGAGCCTGGGTAGGAGGGAGTCTGGGGGGCAGCCTGAGCCGAAGGGGGCGGAGCTGGGGGCTGTGCAAGGCCTTCGGTGGGCAGCAACGTAGTTCTTGAGACCTGGGAGTGGAGGAGCATGCCGAAGCTTTGTCAGAGAAATGGGCTCGAGCCCTGACAGAGGGCCCAGTGCAGGAAGTAGGAAAAAGTGCTGGCAGCCTGGTCCATTCTGCCCAGGCTGGGCCAGGCCACAGTGGTGAATCCTCCTGAAACCTCAGGGGGGCCCCCAGAGCCTCCCAGCCCTGAATAATTCCCGCGTCACGTCACAGGACATGCGTGGGCGCTATGAAGCCAGTCAAGACCTCCTGGGCACTTTGCGGAAGCAGCTCAGCGACAGCGAGGGTGAGCGCCGGGCCCTCGAGAGACAGCTGGAGCGTCTTCGGGACAAAGCTGATGGGGTCACCCAGGCCCACGAGGATGCCCAGCGTGAAGCCCAGCGTCTGCGGAGCGCCAACGACCTTCTGAGCAGGTGCTGGGAGGTCAGAGGTGGCGGGTCCAAGCGGTAGGCCAGAGTCTGGACCTCACACTGCCCCGGCCTGTTAGACGTGAAGCTGCACCCACTTCCCCGGCAGCTCAGCCATTCCCAGGGCCTCCCAGGGCGTGGGGCAGCGAGAGAACAGCCAGGTTCTCTCTGCAGGGAGTCCACTAGAGGCCCTTAAAGGATGGAGAATGTGGCCCTCCTCTTCCCTGATGCCCCAACCTCCCGTCAATGCCTCATCCCCTTGCCCTATAGGGAGAAGGACAGCCTGGCCCAGAGCCTGCAGGCGGCCGAGCAGCAGGCTGAGGAGCTGCAGCAGGAGCAGGAGAAGCTGCAGGCCGCCCAGGAGGAGCTGCGGCGCCAGCGAGACCGGCTGGAGGAAGAACAGGAGGACACGGTGCAGGATGGGGCACGGACACGCAGGGAGCTTGAGCGCAGGTGAGCTCCGGGCTGTGTCCTATGCAGCCCAGCAGTGTGTCTGGAGGCTGGTGAGCACCTGGGCATAGGTGTTCTAGGTGAGGCCCATGACTAACTTCCTTGACTGCTCCCTGCAAGGTTGTATGGCAAAGTCCACTCAGAGGCACTTTGGAAGAAACACCTGCCAGTTGACCTCCCCAAACCGAGCCACACATAATGGACGGACCCAGATAGAATGGGCGAACAGTGTCATACAAACCTTAAGTTCTTCAAGATGGCCAGTCTTAGGGGACCAGTGAAGACTAGAGAGCCCCAAGACTTCAAACGTGGGCTACCATCTGAGCTTAGAACTTAAACCACTCCCCGTGCTCACCATTCAGTCACAGAGGGGCTCGTAGAATAAGGAAAGAAAAAGCACCGTGAGCACTATGACCCTCTGACACCGGGCTGGGGAAAGTCCAGCCCTGGGGCTGCCCAAGGCCCGAGACATCACCAGTGACTGCTAAGCTGCCGCGCCTCACCAAAGAGAACCATTCAGGCTGAGTGAGTGAAGTGCTGCACAAAGACAGCAGGCTGCTCTTTGATCAGCCGCTCAGTTGATCATTCTTTCTGGCCCGCCAATGCTGTTAGAAATAGCCAAGTGGTGCTTAGCAGGAAAAAAGGCTTCCCACCACTGCTCTAGCTGATCACCTAACAGAGACCTCACGGTTCCCAAGGGCTCTGGGACTGTTTGGCTCAGGGAGCTGGGGGCAGACAAGTAACACGGGGTACTTGCCTGAGTTAGTTCATTGTGCCAACCTGGCCAATAAACACACACGTGGGGTTAATCGAAGGGCAGAGAGCTAAATGGCTTGGTGAGCCTCACCTTTCTAGTTCTTGGGTCTCTTGCTTTGTGATGGTCGGACCAGGGTGCAGCTGCCTTAGCAGTTCCCTGCTTCAGCTGGCAAGGATAACTTCCTGCAAGACATCCTCAAGGAGAAGCCACATGGACCTACCCCGATGAAGCCCTGGGTGCTGGAGCACCCGTGTGGAGACCCCTGCCAGCGCTGAGATGCTTATACACTCACTGACTCAGCTTTCCTCCTGCAGTCGGCATCACAGAGTGTGTTTTGTGAGATAGAGGAGGACTTTGTGGACTGGTGTTGGACATATGGGTTAATGGGCTAGTGGTGGCCTTGTGGACTTGGGCAGCACTGGGTTGGGATGTTTTCTTGATGTGTACTTAGCCTCTCTTATACACGAGTTTCTGTGGATTTGTTTCTCTGAAGTCCCCAGACTCACACATTGCCTACCGTGTCCCATAGCCACCGGCAGCTGGAGCAGCTGGAAGGGAAGCGCTCGGGGCTGGCGAAGGCGCTGGTGGAGGTGAGGGAGGCGCTGAGTTGTGCCACCCTGCAGCGGGACGTGCTCCAGGCCGAGAAGGCCGAGGTGGCCGAGGCACTGACCAAGGTGAGTCCCTCCCGCCATGTAACTGCTGACCAATCCTGAGGCTGACCTCTGACCCTGACCACAAACCCACCTCAGGCCCTTGGTCCCAAGCCTTCCCACTGTGGCTATAGACTGGCCCCATTTCTGGCTGACCTCCGACCCTGGTCTTGTCCTTTTAAGACATAGGCTCACCTTTGACCCAGACTACAGTCTCACCTCTGTTTTCAGCCCCAGATGAAATGACCCTTGTTGGTGGCCATCGCCTTGACTTCCCAGGGCCTCCTGGGACAGTGCTTGTAGCTCTGCACCCTGGTCTCTGAGAGAGCCCTGGTCTCTGAGAAAGCTCGGGACCAGGATGTCGGTGGGGAGCGAGCTGTGCTTGCTCAGCTCACCAGGCATGGCTTCTTTTAAAGCCCCTGTTGACCCCCTCCTTGTTCCCCAACCCTGGCACTGAGGATCCCCGCCCCACCCTGTCTTTCCCAGTTTCACCCATCCCTCTCTCCCCGGCCCCTGCCCGCCTCCCTGGTCTCTCTGCCTGACCCTCTCTGGCTCCTGGGTCCCCACCCGACAGGCAGAGGCCAGCCGCGTGCAGCTGGAGCTCTCCCTGACGAAGCTGCGGGCGGAGGAGGCCTCCCTGCGGGACTCCTTGTCCAAGTTGAGCGCCCTCAACGAGACACTGGCTCAGGACAAGCTGGGGCTGAACCGCCTTGTTGCCCAGGTACGGCCCCCTCCCCTGTGTCACCGCCAGGCTGTCCCCTCCAGTCTGGGCTGTCCCCTCCTGCCCTGTCCCTTGCCCTGTCTATCTGTCCTCTCATGAGGCCACAGGCCCTCCTACTCCCTCCCCATGCCTGCACAGCCAAGGACAGAGCCCTGTGCCCCTGCCCTGTGACAGGGCTGGGAGGAAGAGGCGTCCCTGGTCCCAAGAAGGACCCCCTCTCTGTGTCAGGTGGTGTGGCTGGGCTGGGCTGATCTGCTTACTGGCCCCCACTCCACCCCGGTCCCCACAGCTGGAGGAGGAGAAGGCAGCCCTGCTGGTGCGCCAGCGGCTGGCGGAGCAGGAGGCCGCCCTGGCGAGGGAGGAGCTGGAGCGGATGGAACAGCTGCGCCTAGAGCAGGAGCTGGAGCGGGAGGGCCTGGAGGGCTCCCTGCGGGCGGCTGAGCAGGCCCGGGAGGCCCTGGACCATCAGCTCCCCACGCTGCGCCAGGATCGCAGCCGGCTGCAGGAGCAGCTGGCCCAGGTGGGCCTGAGCACTGTTGGCCTGTTTGGGTATGCAGAGTGGCGGGACTGAAGCTCTGGTTCTGGGTTTACATCCTAATCCCACTTCCACCAGCTGGTGACCTTGCTTTCTGTGCCTCAGTTGCCCCATCTACAACATGGGGCTAATAGTTCTTCTCACAACGGCTGTTGTTACATGAGAGACCCTATATACAGTGTTTAGCAGAGGTGCATATCTAGCACCAAGTCATCACTCAGGAAAGTTTCATTATAGTAACAGGTGGGGCCCCAGTAAGAAATGGACTCTTAATTTGTTGGCGACTGGAAGGGACCTTAGGGGCTCAGGGATCCATTGAGCTAGGGGAGTGGGGCACAGGGAGCAGGGAGTGGGCTGGTGCCCTTCTGTGTGGTGTGTGAGTATAGGTAGCGTCTCTGGAAATGTTGGGGGAGAGGGAAGGGATTCTGTCACTCCCAAAACAAAGAACGAGGACCCTCATTTTAAGGCAAGTGTGTCATAGACCCAGAGAAGGCTGCTGTTTGCCCAAGGACAGTACCTGGGCCTGAATGCAGGCCTCCAGGCTGCTCGGCCAGGCCCAGGGTTCAGGGGCTATGTGATGAGCAGACTGAGGACTGGTGCTCACGATCCCCTGGTACGGACAGCTCTCCCGACAGCTGAGTGGGCGGGAGCAGGACCTGGAGCAGGCCCAGCGGGAGTGGCAGCGGCAGGTAGAGGCGCTGGAGCGGGCAGCCCGGGAGAAGGAGGCGCTGGCCAAGGAGCGGGCCAGCCTGGCAGTGCAGCTGGCGGCTGCCGAGCGAGAAGGTCGGACCCTGTCGGAAGAGGTGACCCGCCTGCGGTAAGGCCTCAGGCTCTGTCCCCCTGCCCAGTCAACCCCAGAGCAGTCCCTTAGGAGCAGGCCTTGCCAACATGTCCTAGCTACAGCTTCCCCAGGGAGGGCTGGCTCTGCCAGGCAGGTGGGTTGGCACCCTGCCCACAGCTGGCTGCACCCTGGGAGCCCCGGCTGGGTGGCTGAGTCTCTCGGCCCTGGGGGCTCTGTGCTGCAGCCTGGAGAAGGAGGCCCTGGAAAGCAGCCTGTTCGAGGTGCAGCGGCAGCTTGCCCAGCTGGAGGCCCGCCGGGAGCAGCTGGAAGCTGACGGGCAGGCCCTGCTGCTCGCCAAGGAGGCCCTGACAGGTACAGGTTCTGGGGCTGGTGGGCACACTGGGCTCCAGCCCACACTTGCACCCTGCCCAGCCCTGGGGTCTCCCAGCCCTGGGCGTACTGTCTTTGGAGTCCGGCTGCTCCGGCTCTCAGGCCGGGGGCTGCTCCACAGGTCTGAGCCTCCTTGGTCTGCCTCTGCCCTCTCGGGGCCACACTTGCCTCTGATCACAGAGGCGGACAGAGACTCATGTCAAAGGCTTGGCTCAGGGCCTGGCTCGGTCTACAGTGCCTGCTGCTTCGTGTCACCGGGGCAGTGGAGCGTTCTGGACAGAGCCACCAGGTTTCTAGATGATTCCTGGCCCTGCAGGCCTAGCTGCCCTGTCTAGGCTGGAGCTCATGGGCTCCGCTCACACACAGAGCACCTCCCTGGGCCAGGAGAATGAGTGTCCCGATCATAACCAGGACTGCCTCCGCCCCCAGAGCTGGGAGAGGAGATGCCCCTGGAGCCACTGGTGGGTTTCCAGCCCAGGAGCATGGTTTTGCTCTCCCACCCCACCCCAGCCATCGGTGCAGATAGGAAGTGCTCTGGCATGAGGCAAATTGTAGCAGTCACCACTGGGTGGTGCATCTTTGGGAAGTTACTCATTGTCCCAGAGCCTCTGTCAGCTTATCTGCAAAGTGGGCATGAGAATAAGTTATGTCGAGACCGGGTCTGTAAGGTGTCCAGCCAGGTGCTAGATGGATCTGACTCTGATCCCTGGGCACCCTGTGTGCCAGGGAGGACTGTGCTCTCTGGTGTGATTTTCAGTGGCTGAGTTTTTTTACAGTAGGTTACCAGACCTTTCTACCAAGGTGTCTCTGAGTGAACTTGAACTTTGAATTTTTGGCTTAGCAGCCAAGGACTTTCACCACATACATCACCCAGGAACTTGTGAACCCAAAGACAGTTATGTTTTTATTGTCGTCCCCCCCCCCACTCGGGAGCCATGATTGCCCTCTGTGAACACAGTTCCACGTTGTCAGGGAGAAATATGGGCCCCAGGACCCTGAGCTGCAGGTGGGGGGACTGATGCCCAGAGAGGATAAGCAAGATGCTAGGCAGGCCCCCTTGCTCCCCTTCCCTGCCGGCTTTTGCCCACATGGCTCACCAGCCTGGGCCTGCTGGCCGGAAAAGAGGTGGCAACCTGAGCCCGTCCCCTCCCCCTTCCTTCCCTCCCAGGGGAGCTGGCTGGGCTGCGGCAGCAGATGGCCACTACGGAGGAGAAGGTGGCGTTGGACAAGCAGCTGATGGCCCAGAAGCTGGCGCAGGCCGAGCGGGATGCGCAGGCCTCTCTACGGGAGCAGCGGGCAGCCCACGAGGAGGACTTGCAGAGGCTTCAGCAGGAGAAGGTGTGGGCAGCGCGGACAGGCGGGCAGGGCTCTCATCCCCCCTCTCTCAGCGACCTCAGGCGAGCCATGCCTCACCCTGTCAAAGGGGCTTGTGCTCTGCTCTGGAGGCAGACGCCATCTGGCCCGTGGGCTGCTCTGAGTCACGTGGGTTCAGCAGCAGCAGCAGCAGCAGCAGGCTCTCCAGTGGCTGAATCAAGGTCCCTCTGGGTGGGTGGGCTCTAGCCTTCAGCCTCCCAGGCAGCACCCGAGCATCCTGGCTATTCATCCCGCCCAGCCCCTCGGAAGCCAGCTGCCCGGCGTGGGGTACCACTCGCATGTCAGGGCAGGCCTGTGCACCATAGGGCTACGGTGGCCGACTGCAGAAGCAGGTGCCCAGGCCTCTCTTCCTCGGCACCTCTGGTGGGTGCAGGCCTCCAACCTGGTCAGCAGCCGAACGCACGAGCTCTTGCACCACCTCAGGCTCCAGACAAGAGCCTCCCACCTGGGCTATTGTCATCGGGTCTGTTCCAACCCAGAGCAATCCTCTGAGATGGCATAGGACTGCCCCCTGGTCTCCATGGCTGCAGTCTGCACTGGCACAGGCCGCCACATCTCTCTCCATCAGAGTGGCTGGCCGGGGACCACCCACCTTTCAGATGGCGGGAACTCCAGGGCTCCTTTCTAAGCTCTGCCCACAACCCACTGCCATTGGATAAGCAGCTCCTCCTCACGACAGAACAGCTGCTCCTGGGGGGTTTCCAAGTCTATAAATCTTCTTGCCCCAGTTCTTGGGGTGCTGTGCAGACCCCGACTCTACCTCTCCCTCTTTCTCCAACCTAGTGCTGCTCCTCCTTCCTCCAGGAATCAGTCTCTCCTCCCCAGGCCGGGCTGCCGCTGCTCCCAGCCGCCCCCCACCCCCTACCCAACGGTTCTCTGGTACCCTGGAGTCCCCTGGCCCCTCACCCTGTCCCTGGGGTTTGGGCTGAGAGGGACCCTGCTGCCCTGAGGTTTGTGGGGGCCGTGTGTCACTGCCTGGGCCTGACCCCCCAGGAGGAGGCGTGGCGGGAGCTGGAGGCCGAGCGGGCACAGCTGCAGAGCCAGCTGCAGCGGGAGCGGGAGGAGCTGCTGGCCCGGCTGGAGGCCGAGAAAGAGGAGCTGAGTGAGGAGATCGTGGCCCTGCAGCAGGAACGGGACGAGGGCCTCCTCCTGGCTGAGAGTGAGAAGCAGCAGGTTTGCATGGCCCTCTGGGCTCCGGCTGGGCGTGGCGTCCCCGCCCCCGCCCCCGTGTCTCTGCCTCCAGGGTGTTCCCTCCCCACTCCCACCCCCCAAAAAAGGTCCCCACGCATTAGCTGACCTGCCTGCAAGAGAGCAGGCTAACTCCTGACTTCCCACAATGGGACAGAGACAGAGCAGAGGACCCACCGCCTGCCCCCACAAGGGTCACTTCCCCTCTCCGAGCCACTGTTTCCTCATCTGCAAAATGGGAAGAATCGGGCCCCGCCTTGAGATTGTTGTGGCACGTTGTGGGGTTGTCGTCTGGGCTGTTGTTATTGTTAGAGCCTCCCCATGGGGGGGCATGCACCTCTGCCCTGAGCTCCCCTGCGTTGGCCCCTCAGGGGCCCTGATGGGCACATTTCCCAAGAAAGGGGGACTCTGACTGTTCTTAGGAGCCTCTCCCCAAGCCTGCCTCCCTGCCTCGGCCCAGGCCCTGTCCCTGAAGGAATCCGAGAAGACAGTGCTGTCTGAGAAGCTGCTGGGCACGAGACACAGCCTGGCCGCCATCTCCCTGGAGATGGAGCGGCAGAAGCGAGATGCTCAGAACCGGCAGGAGCAGGACCGGGTAGGGCAGGCCAGGCAGGTGGGCCTCTGTCTGAGGGCGGTGGGCGGCACAGCCTTGCCTACAGCAGCCCCTATCTCAGGGAGATGCTTGGTCTTCCCTGGAGAAGCCTCCAGTCTGTGGGGGGGAGGCTGAGCTTTGGGAGCCCTCTGTCTGAGGGAGGCAGCACAGCCCTTCCTTGGACACCCCCCATCTGAGGAAGGCGGGCACGGCTCCAGCCCGGAGAATCCCCGAGCCTGTTCCGCAGGCAACAGTGGCCAGGAATCGAGGATCAGCAGAGGGTCTCGTAGGCTAGTGAGTGGGGCTGTGTTCAGAGCTGCGAATGAATGGTTCAGCTCGGGGAGAGGGTGACGGGACAGGACCAAGTCTGAGGTGCCCACCTGTCCCAGAGCACCGTGAATGCCCTGACGTCGGAGCTGCAGGACCTACGGACCCAGCTTGAGGAGGCAGCTGTGGCCCACGGCCAGGAGGTGAAGAGGCTGCAGGAACAGGCCCGAGACCTGGGCAGGCAGAGGGAGTCCTGCCTACGTGAGGTGAGCAGCCGCCCCCAGCTGGTCAGCACGTGCTGTGTGCTGGGTGCTGTGAGATTCCCAAATAAGTGAGCCTTATGCCCCTGCGCCTGGGGACAAGGAACAGCCAACTTAGAATGGAGCCAGTGAGCCTTTATTATTAGTTACTTTTTACGTGGTAAAAGTATACGTGACCCCACACTTGCCAATGGAACATCTCTCACGTACAGCTGGGTGGCTGGCGTCAATTCCACTGCTCAGGTTGTGCTAATACCTGTTGCCAAATTCCCCGTCCCCGCGAGCAAGGAGCAAGCAGCACACGGCTTCCCACACTCCGACTCCCTCTCCTCCGTCCCCTGCGGTCACTCTGGTCTCGGTACATTGGCAGCAGACATTTAGGAAGCACCTGCTGTGTAGCTAACCCCTCGGGGACTTGAGGGGCTGGTGGGGTCCCTGTCCTCTCTGAATTCTTCTACCGGACAGTTCTGGTCCCTTACTTGAGGCCCAAGCACTGATGACTAACATGGCCTGTGCGTGTTTGTTTAGTTGCCCAATTTGGCTCTGACACCTGGAGCCGACCACCATCACCACACACACACACACACACACACACAAACACACACACACACACACACACCCGCCCCCACCCCACCCATCCTTTTACAGAGTAGAACTGCTCCATAGCATTTTCTTGGCTCTGACACCTGGAGACCACCACACACACACACACACACACACACACACACACACAATATCCCACCCCCACCCCTTTTACAGAGTAGATCTGCTCCATAGGGTTTTCTTAGCTGGCCTCCTGAAGCAGATCATAGGCCTTCTCTTCCAGGGTACGGCTAGTTGGGTTAGAACCGCTGTGTTTTAGGTTGGTAGCCAAGCACAGCGTGTATGCCACTCGGGGACTTGATGATCTAGGTTTGTTGTTTGACTTTGAGGAAAGACGGGGTGCTTTCGGCTCCTGTAAAGAGTCACAGGGTCAGACACCCACAGGGGACAGTACTGCCCTGTCCTATGGGGTCGCTATGAGTCGGAACCGACTCAATGGCAGTGAGTTTTGTCTTTCTGTTTTTAAATTATATCAGCGTTAGCACAATAAAATACAAGACAGCAACAGTCACAGAGGAAGCACCCCTGGTTCCCAACATAGCTTGGCTCCCACCACGCGAGGGAAAATTGGAATTTCCCCCCCGAACTCTTTGAAGTCCCCTCACTAGAGCTCTCGGTAGCCGTATGAATCACTGCTGAAGGCCAGGGCAGGCGCCCCGTGCCAGGCTATGGGAGAGGTGCTGCCCACGGCGCCCAGCCTCAGCAGGGCAGCGCTCTGTCGCCACAGGTGGAGGAGCTTCGGACCCAGCTGCGCTTGCTGGAGGATGCCCGGGACAGTGTGCGGCGAGAGCTGCTGGAAGCCCAGCGCAAGGGGCGGGAGAGCCAGGAGGGCTGCGAGGCCCGGCGGCAGGAGGTCACCGAGCTGCAGCGCAGCCTGAGCGAAGGGGCCAAGGAGCTGGAGGTCCTGCGGCGCGCCAACGAGGAGCTGAGGGCAGCCGTGAAGAAGGCCGAGAGCGAGCGCATCAGGTGGGGATGTGGGGACCGAGCCCACCCCTGAGCACAGGGCTCATGGAGTCTGGGCCCCAGAACCCCGACAAGACAAGGGAAGCCTCTCTGCCCGCCAACCCCAGCGAAGGATCCAGAGGCCCCAGCCTGGGGCCTCTCGGGTGTCTCCCTAGTTAAGGTGGGAGAGGCTGGTCCAGACGCCAGCCCCACCTGCTGCCATCACCTTGGAAACTTGGCTGCCTCTGCTGGTCCCACAAGAGCAGGCAGCATAGGGTACCTTCAGGCCACAAGTAAGCGAGGTCTACCCCAGGATCTATGCAGGGCTGCAGACTAAACTCTGACCAGGTCCCTGGCAACCTCTGCCTTCTGCCCTCTGCCCGCTCCAGCCTGAAGCTCGCCAACGAGGACAAGGAGCAGAAGCTGGCATTGCTGGAGGAGGCCCGGGCAGCCTTGGGCAAGGAGGCCGGGGAGCTGCGGGCTGGGCTGCAGGAGGTGGAGCGTGCCCGGCTGGAGGCTCGGAGGGAGCTGCAGGAGCTCCGGTGGCAGGTGGGCCTGGAAACAGTAGCTAACTTTCTTTCTCGTCTACAGAGCACCAAACAGAAGGTCTTGGGGCCTAATGGGTGGTGGTGGTGGTGGTGGTGGTGGTGTATGTTAGCATGTGCATGCGTGCGTGAGCATGAGCGTGCGTGCGCTTCTGCACAGCCACTCCTACATTTCTCCAAGGAAAGCGCCTGTCGCTCGGACCCAGTTCTCAGGACTCGGTGATCCACAGAACGCTCTAGGTCAGGGCTTGGCAAACTAGGGCCTGACAGTACGTCTGTTTTTAGAATGGTGTTTTATTGTGTTTCGGGTGAAAGAGCTTGTACAGTAAACGGGTTCCCCGTGGGCACTTTCTGTACCGAGTGTTCAGTGGTGCCAGTTCTAGCGGTAGCTCGTCCGGCACTCGGGTTTCTCATCTGCATACTGGAGTGCGCGTGTCGGTTTCCCGTCTCTGGGCTCCTGTAGGTGGAGTGCAGCACCGAGGGCAAATAGCATTGATTTGGTGTCCACTCTGTTCGTTCACTGAACGGTGGCCTCCACTCAAGGACTCTCTCAGGATGATAAAGAGTCTCAGTGCGTCTTCTCACCTCACCTGGTCCAGAAAGTCTAGACTTGGTTAGGAATTTGACTCCCGTTGTTGTGTTTCCCTCCACTTCCGGCAGGGTCCACCTCTTGTGGCCCTGGCCAGAGCAGTCAGCAGCAGTAGTGGGCACCATCTAGTTCTTCTGGTCTCGGGGTAGATGAGGCTGTGACTCCGTTAGGCTGTTAGTCCTGTGGACGAGCAGTTCCTTCCGGAGATTTGGGTTTCCTCCTTAGTCTTCTGTTCCTGATGAGCAGACACACTTAACCGTGTCTTGGATGGCTGTTTGCAGCAGATACTAATGATCTTCAGCCTTATGGGCCGGTGGGCCTCCGTTGCAGTTCCTGAGCTCTGCCAGTCAGTGAGAAAGCAGCCCTCTCACTGTCATTGCCACCCAGTTGATGCCCACTCACAGTGGCCCTGCAGCATACAGGAGAACCACCCCTGTGAGGTTCCTAGACTGTATGTCTGCACAGGAGTAGAAAGTCCGCAAGTTCTTTTGCAGTGAACAGGCAGGCAGCCAGGGGTGGCCTGTGGGCTGTAGTTTGCTGATCCCTGAACTAGATGGTCGCCAGCTGCCCGTAACAGCATGCACTCCACAAGGGTCTGCTGTATCCTGGGCATTGTGGGCAGGGGCTTCTAGAACAGGAGACAAATCCAGTTGGGACCTGGGCTCTGCCCCACTCAGAAATATCACAGCCCCGAAACCTAGTCTTCCACCTCCTCCCCAGGCTCCCTCCCAGGCCGCCCTCTGTGCTGAGGTCCTGGGAATCCACAGGAAGGCCTTCAAAGGCTGCTCACTCTTGGGGACCAGGCCCCTGCATGGGTTTCGCAAGCTGTAGCAGTAGGCCCCTTTTAACTGACTATAGCTGTATTTTCCATGTGCTTGGGATCAAATCCCAGTCTGCTGCTCCCTGGCTGTGTGACCTTGGGCCAGTGACTTCACCTTTCTGAGCCTCAGTTTTCTCATCTGTTAAATAGGGATAAAGTTAGTATCCTACCCTGTCGGGTTGTGTGAGGTCTGGAGTTCATATGAGTGAAGTGCTTAGAGCAGTGCTGGCCACACAGTGAGCACTTGGGAAAGCTGGTCCTCACTGTGGGGATGACAGGTAGCCCAGAGGGCTGTGGTTCCCGCCCCACAAATCTCCAGGCCTGACAGGTTTATCTCTCCGTGCTCCCTCACTCTCACCTGCCATGAAAGGTAGTTATTAGCCCATTGGGTGATTGGTAAACTGAGGTTAGTGCTGACTGGGTGCCCAGCTTAGCTTGCAACCCTTGGGGTGGTGTTCAGTGCATGCTATAAGCCTGCTTTGCTGGGTGGGGTGAGAAGCAGAGTGGGTATAGAGGCAGCACTGGAAGGGAATGGGGGTGCTGAGCATGGGCCCTTGGTGCCACCTGTGGCCGCCCTGTCTCTTGTAGATGAAGATGCTGGACAGTGAGAATGCCAGGCTGGGCCGGGAGCTGGCAGAGCTGCAGGGCCGCCTGGCGCTGGGTGAGCGGGCCGAGAAGGAAGGCCGGCGGGAAGCCCTGGGGCTCCGGCAGAGGCTGCTGAAAGGTGAAGCCAGCCTGGAGGTGGTGCGGCAAGAGGTAACTGGACAGGGGATGGGGGCAGGGGTACAGGCTGCCTGGGAGTGGGAGCCCCAAGGGGGCTGTCCCTCCAGTGGGAAGCAGTCCCTCCCCGGCACAGGTCCTGGCATCAGTAGGTCTCGTTTCCAGTGAATTGTGGCAACCAGGGGACGGGCTAGCTTATGCCCTCAGCCGGGGGGTTTTTCTCCTGCCTCAGTCCAAGCCCCATCGTAGTAGGGCTCCTTAGCAATCACGTGCGTGGGGAAGCAGTACTGCGTAGTGGTTAGGAGGACAGCCTCTGGTGCCCAGTGCCTGTTTGGGGTCCAGTTCTACAGCTGATGACCTGTGTGACCTTGGACAGCGGCTCTATTCTTCAGTTCCGTTCCTTCCCCTGGAACATGGACATGACTCATAGAGGGTGATTCACAGTAAACGGTTTGGCACCGATGAACCCAATCAGTGGGTTAGCTGTTAGAATGACTAATTGTGTACGTTAGAAGGCCTACCAGCTGACTTGAGGAAGGGCGATAAACAGTCAATCCTAAGGGTTTCCTCCCAGACTCCCGTTAAGGTGACCCGATTTAAAGCAGGACACCATTGGCGGGGTGGGGTGGGGGGTTCTTGATTTAAAATTTGGTCTGTATGGACCAAATAGACCATTCCCTAGCTTGTCCTGCATTCTTTCCAAAAATCGGGGACTTTTTTAAAACGCTAAAAAACGGGACTGCCCGCTAAAAGCGGGACGTCTGGTCACAGCTTTGAAAGCACTGTGGTGTGCAGGTCACTTCGCGGGTAGGCTCCTGGTTGGGGCCTGGAGGAGGGGCGGTGGGCGCGGGGTTGGGGCTCCCGCCTCCCCTCGCTGTGCTGTCCTCACTCCAGCTGCAGGGGGCCCAGAGGAAGCTGCACGATCAGGAGGGCGAGTTCCGGGCCCGGGAACGAGGCTTGTTAGGGTCCCTGGAGGAGGCGCACGGAGCCGAGAAGCAGCAGCTCAGCCATGCCCGCAGCCTGGAGCTGAAGCTCGAGTCGGTGCGGGCCGAGGCCGCGGAGCTGGGGCTGCGGCTGAGCGCGGCCGAGGGCCGGGCGCAAGGCCTGGACACTGAGTTGACCCGCGTGGAGGCGCAGCGGCGAGCGGCCGAGGCCCAGCTGGGAGGCCTGCGCTCCGCCTTGCGCCGTGGCCTGGGCCTCGGCCGCTCGCCCAGCCCCGCCCCGCGGCCATCACCCGGCTCCCCGGTCCGAGGAGCACCTGCCGGAGGTGAGTGGGGTGGGGGCCAGGGGGAGCATCCACAGGCGAGCTGACCCTTTCCTGCAGTTCCAGAGTTCGCCTCCAGGTGGCACCCCGCCCCTCCGGCCTCTCCTTTGCTGGTCAGTGGCCAGGCTGCCCCGGAGAGGTTTTGGCTCTGGGAGTGGGGCTTGGTTGTGTATTGTCGAGTTGATTCCAACGGACTCTTGAGATTCTGAGGAGTTTCGGGCGGCTTTGAATGGTCAACCCTTCAGCCAGTCGTTGGGCATGTTAGCGCTTACACCACCCGCAGTTCACCTCCTGCCCCTGGAAGGCCCCCGGTTTGAAACTCAGCAGATCCCTCAGTGCTTTGAGGCTGCTGTCTGTGGTGTGGGGAAACCGGCTCTCAGCTCTTGGGAATGGAGGAACGAGGCAGCCCGTGGGAAGCAAGTGCCCAGCACCTAGTGAAACAGTCCAACGGAGGTGTTGAGGGGCGGGGCTCTGGGAGATGCAGCCAGGCAGGTATGGGAGAGATGAGGCTCGGGCCCTCATGGTGCTCACAGTGTGGGTGGGGTGGAAGGCCGCAGAACACCCCCCAGGTGGGACAAATTCACCCCAGCCAGCCCGGAGTCAGGGTGACATTGGCATGTGTGCCCACAGGATTAGTTGGACAAAATGGGGTCCTAGGGAGGCCAGGAGCAGCACTGGAAGGCCATGAGAGTGGAACAGGGAACGTTCTAGAACCTGGGGGTTGAGGGTGATGCAGTGTGGTCAGATGTAAAGGCTAAGAGGATGATGCTGGGGCGAGCAGCCTGGGCTCCAAAGTTGGCACCGAAGCTGGGTTTGGCTCTGAGGGTTGGGGTGGCCCCTTCTGGAGGCGGCAGGCAAGGGGGAGAGAGGGATGCGGGGAAACCTGCGGCCACCGTCCTGCAGGGCCTGGTGGTCCGTCCTCCCAGAGCATCTCTTCTTCCAGGAAGTGGGGAGGGGCTCAGCAGCCCCAGCTCCTTGGAACGCAGCCCTGGGTCCGAGCCTCCCTCCCCAGGGCCTGCCACCTCACCGGTACCTCCAGACCTGGACCCCGAGGCGGTGCGGACGGCCCTCCGGGAATTCCTCCAGGAGCTGCGGAGTGCCCAGCGAGAGCGGGTGAGGCAGCAGTGAGTGGCCAGAGAACCGGGTGGCCCAGGGCCCTGTGAGGTGGTTGAGAGCTGGCTCTGCTGTCCCCGTCCCCCCACGTTGGGGCTGCAGGGTGAGCTTCGCACCCAGATGAGTACCCAGAGTCGCCGGCTCGCTGAGGTGGAGGCCGAGAGGGACAGCATGACCTCTTGGGCCAAGCAGCTGCAGAAGGCAGTGGCCGACAGTGAGGAAGGTGAGTCCAGCGCTCTGGGTTCCTGCCTTGCCCTCTGTGTCTGTCACTGGGGTGGGGGACCTGACCCCAGTGCCTCCTGCTTCTCGGCCCCAGCCACCTCCCTCCTCATTGCCTAGACCCATAGACCCTCGGGGCTCTGAGCGGCCAGGCCATTCTTGTTGTGGGTGGAGAGCCAGCCAGGCCATCTGTGGCCTGGTCACTCTGCCCAGCCACACCTGACTGGCCGGTGGGCTGCAGGACGCCGCAGTGCGGAGGGGCGGCTGAGCGGGACCCAGGTGGAGCTGGCGCTCAGGGAGGAGAGCGTGCGGCGCAGCGAGCGGGAGCGCAGGGCTGCACAGGACCAGGTGGCTGCCCTGGAGAGGAGTCTGCAGGCTGCCGAGGCTGAGCACCGGGCTAGCCAGGTAGGCAGAGCAGGAAGGGGTGCAAATGGGGCGGGGGACATCCTGAGTTGTCTGCTGGCACTCACAGCAGTCTCTGAACTGACCAGCTGGTGACTCGACAAAGTCACGCCCAGGTCCCACCGCCCCACTTCACACTGACGTCGCCAGGCTCTGGAAGCAAAGGCCTTTGAGTCAGGCCGACCTGGGTTCAAGTCCTGTCCCGGCTTCCTGTATATTGTCAGTCTTTCCTCCCCCCAAGAGGCGAGCCGGTGACTCACTGGGAGGCGGTGCTCCACTTGGCCACAAGGCGGCCCCCGGGGGCCTCTGCTTACCTTCCGGTTCTGATGCCCTGGAGTTTTTCTGTGTGTTTGGGGGTGTGCGTGCATGCGTGCATAGCTGTGTGTATGAGTGTGTGCCTGGGGCAGGAAGCCCAGGCACTGGTGCTGACGGTTCAGGTTGCTGCAGCCTCCAGCCCTTCTTGTAGCCAGGAATCCCTTCCTCCCTTCCCTCCTCCGGTTCCTCCCTGGGCCTCTGTGCTGCCCCCAAAGCCCACCCCCTGCCTCTGGCTCCCAGCCCAGGCTGAGCTGGAGTGTTGTGTCTGCGGCTCCAGCTCTGGCTTTGGGCCTAGCCGCAGGGGCCGCGGGAGGAGGCCGGGAACAAAGATGGGCAGCAGCTAGTGTGGAGGCTGCTGGGCCCAAACCAGGCAGGGATGGGGCTTGGAGCTGGCAGGAGGGGGGCCAGGTGGGGGCGGGGCCTGTAGTCCTCCCTTGACCCAAGGATGGCAACACTGAGCCCCAAGACTGCCTTCCTACTCTGTTTTCATTGCCCAAGCGCCCCTAAATCTCCAGAGTGGCAGGGCTAGGGCTTCTGCCCCACAGGGCTGTCCTTATCAGCTCAGGACCCTCTGGGCCACCTCCAGAGAGACTAGACTCCCCTTTTTTATAGCCACTCTCCAGGGCTCTGGGTACCTTTGGGTACCAGCTTCCCCACAGCAGGGAAGGGATCACTCTAGATTACAAAGCCCGATTGACGCCGGCAAAACTGGAAGATGCTCGGGGACCCTAAGCCCATCACCCTGTGAACAGGTGGGGAAACCGAGGCCCCAGACGATCACGGGCGGGCCCAAGCCCCGCAGTGAGTGGTTGGA